ATGACTATTTGGTTTGAACAGACTGATTTCCTGCTCATATGTTTTGTTGAATAATTACAATACTTTCACTATTAAGCATTTCATATAAATATATTTTATTAATATAATAGAGTACAAAAGAACCAATTTAAAATATACATATGTGCTTGTAAATAGTGTTAAGAAAAATTTAAAGAATTACAAAATATGATTATTTTCATCTACCTTTTGACAAACCTTTGACACTAACATCTATTGCTTCTCCTAGCACTAATATTCCTGCCTTATCATGAGTAAAGTCTCTATTTACATTTTTCCTTGGGTTCTGTAACTTCCCAGGTTCATACATGGCTCTATTTCAAATCTGTTGCTATAGGATTTGAGGACTATGTGTTGTAAGAAGCCAATAAATGAACCATCTCATATTGTACTGTTCTCACATTGGTGTCTAGGACATAAGTACTCATGTAATGTGGCATTTTAAGACAAAGACATTATTATTCATCCCCTAAAACACTGCCTTCCTCTTCTCCACATGGAAAAACATAAGAGAAAAATCACAGCCAAAGAGAAGGAATTTTGTTTTAGCTCTTTTCCAAGAAGGATACATTTTTTCCTTAATTCAATTGCTCTCCCACCCATTTTTCATTTGCATTTTAAAGCTATATGATTTAGTGCAGTTCTGATCCATATAGCATCTACTAGTCATTATTAAGCCCCTAAAATGAGATTGTTCCGACAAAATATACTGTGAATATAAAATACATACTGTATTTCAAAGACCTCACCTACACAAAAAGAATGTAAACTATGTTATTATTAAATCTTTTATATTTATTTTGCATTGAAGTGATAATGTTTTAGATATATTGATTTCAACAAAATACATTAAGATCCATTTAACTTTTTCTTTTTATATTTTAATGTGGCCACTAAAATGTTTAAATGGCTCACATTAGACCGCACTGTTCTAGGGCAGCCTGGGTGGCTTAGCGGTTTAGTGGTGCCTTCAGCCCAGGACGTGATCCTGGAGACCTGGGATTGAGTCCCACGTCGGGTTCCCTGCATGGAACCATTTTCACTCTCTGCCTCTCTCTCTCTCTGTCTGTCTCTCATGAATAAATAAATAAATAAAATCTTAAAAAAAGCACTATTCTAGAGGATATCATTATTAGTGTCAATTATTTTAGTGGGATAAAGTCATTAATCTGTTCACCTTATTTTTCAAATGATCCTATCAGTGCTCCTTTTTTGAAAATATTGCTTTGATGGGAGCCAAAAATATGTAAAAGTTGCATATAAGCACAACAATGCAAAGCCTTCAAAAATATATGTTTTAAATATAAAGATATTACCAGTCTATTTTGGAAGATAAGACTTGTATCTAACTTTCTCAGTCATTGATGGTACATGTTTTAAATCCCTTGATGTCTCATTTATATGTGCATTCCGTGTTCCACGTTTTACGTCCTGGAGCGACTTCGTAGGATTGGTTAGAATTCAAATAGCCCTGGTCGCGATAAATCCTTATCCCTATATACTTACTAATGCAATACTCATTACACACAATCATCTATAAACACCACTACTCAAAACACAACCTCTCAACGACCTAACAAACCACTCCAATAAAAAACACATTACTTCAATAATAAAACAACATCCAAACCCCCTACAAAAAAACAACATAATCCATACATTTCCATCTAAAATTTTTCCAAAAAAACCTAACACCTCCCCCACTTTAACATTACATCACAATTCAAAAAACAAAAAACAAACCCAATTCCACTCAACTACAATCTCTTCCTTCATCTATCTCAAAAACTCAAACTTTATATAGTATCTATATTTTATCTGTGTCTAGATTGTCTCGCTTTCTCGCTCGAGCACAGCTCGCATCAATTATGCTTTATCGCTAAAGCATTTTCTTATCTATTGTGTCTATCTTATATGAATACACATTACTTATGTTTAAGAAAATCATGTTTTTTATTTTCTATAATATGTAATTATAGTGTATTCAAATTGACTTCTTATTTCATTCTATTCTTCCTGCTTTATGTGTCAACATCATATCCTACTGATTTATTCTTTGAAGTCTGCTCGCATCTTAATCGCTTCTAGATAACCTCCTAACTATCTACACATACTAATCTCAACCTCACTATCACTCCTACTCTCATACTCTCACTCTCTAGTAGAGAGATCAAAAGATCAACAATAAAACACATATTAAACCAATACTACAAAACATTCTCACCTATAAACACTTATCATGTGCGCACACACACACATCTCCTCGCTCTCTCTCACAGCATAGCTATAGCTCGCGCTCGCTCTAACGCTCTGATATAACTCTCAGCACACTCGCACACACAACTCCTTACCTCTCTCAACACACACTACTCATATCATTTCATCACTATATTGTCGCGCTCGCGCATATAGAGAATAGAGATAGAGATGATATGATAAGCACAACTCTTCACTCGAATACGCATCATCTCTATATCTCATGAAACATCGTGTTGTAATGGATAAATATATGATTGTTTGTGTGTGGGGTTGCGAGTTAGGGTGCTTTGTTGTGAGTTTTGGTGATGGTCCTTATATTTAGAAAGTCTTTTTAACACAAATGTTGTTCTATGGGAGGCGATAATTACATGCACAACAAGGACCCTTATTAGAAGCATGCTCTAATAATTGTTATTTGTAACGGAAAAATATAAATAACAAACATTACCATAAAACAAATCTTAAACACACAATCGTATAAAACAACAAAACATCTCCCCCCAAATTCCAAAAAACTCAAACCCACAATACAATCACTCCTAATACAACAAAATAAATATAAACACTAACCTCCAACTTCATCCTATATAACTCCTTTATAAAATTCTTAATAAAGTTTGTAACTAACTCTCTTAAGACTTTATTGTTTTCAATCTATGATAGTTGTTGTTATGTTAATTTAATTCCGTTATGTAATATTTAGTAGAATTACAGTATCTACGAAGACTAATATTAGTCATATATGTGATGAGATCCCCAAAACATCCAATTCAATCAATACACATTATATAATTAACCCTAAAACACTCACCAAAATAATCAACCAATCCATACAAACCCACTCACACCAATTAAATTTAATTTGCAAGATATACCTCCCACACCCTATATGTGTATAGTTTTCTACGCATAACGCCCCCACAATCTCACCACTTCCCCATACATTCTCTTCATCACATTATCTGTTTTACCCATATTCGAATATAGTATATGTATATATGTTTGTTTTACTACTGAATGTTATCTTATCGCAAGTGTCGCTTGATTCTTTCACTCAGCATATGTAGTTAAACCCTATAACCCCCACCCTACAATTCTGATATAGCCTTTCCAGATACAATCTATCAAATACCCCAAAAAATCACAGATAATCATACCAGATATTATTAGTCTTAAAACACTGATAAAACACAGCAAGAGATGGTTTGATTACTACACACACACATCATTCGAGCCCCATTTCATATCAACTCGATCGCGCGCTCTGCGACGCCCTACGCGCTCATCCTCGTTCGACGCGTTTGCGTGTGTTTAGTGTGATTAAAGCCCACTCTGTGGTGCTGCCTAGATAGATATTTCAATGCCCGCATGCTCTCACTCTCTCGCACTCACTCTCGTGTGTGACGCTATAACACCATTTTATCCCCAAAATCCGTGGCCGAAGTGGTTATTTATTGTTGTGAGTTAGCTCTCAAACTCTTCTCTATACACCCCCTGCTACGCACTCTCGCATAGATGCATCAGCGCACATTATTCATACTTGTGTGTGATTTAGAGCATTGATAATGCTCGGACGGCACTATCAGCCACACAAAGGTGTGTGTGTGTGTGGAGACGTCAATGTTTAATGTGGGTATATAGTATATTATATAGATAGGATATATATATACGATATCCCCCCCCCCCCCCCCCCCCCCCGTCCGCAGGTATAATATGTATATCTGCTATGGTCTGACAGCACCTGACCCCCCCCGACCGACCCCACTACCCTAACTCCCTCTCCTCACCGAATTACCGGTTGTGTGGGGTGCGGGGAGAGGTTGGGCAGGGGGATGGGGTGACTGGGTGCCAGGCACTGAGGGGGGGGCACTTGACGGGATGAGCACTGGGTGTTATACTATATGTTGGCAAATTGAACTCCAATAAAAATTATACAAAAAAACAGAAACTGTCCACTTAATATGAAAACAATGTTTAGATATTATGTTTTCAAAATTTTAAATTATTATTATTGGATAATATATTTTAATTTTCCAATCTTTAACTCATTAGCAGAGCTGTTTGTGCATACCATTAATTATGACAACCTGGATCCAAAAGATAAATGTTTAAAGCACAAGCCCACTGGGGAGGAGAATTTAAGAGTCTCTCAAATATAATGAAATTCATTACTTATTGTTGGATGAATGAGAAATCCATGTAAAACCCCTCTCCTCTTGCAATGCTTATTTCGAATAACTGCCCATTTGCAGAACAAATTATGGATGAATAGTAACACTCTATCATTTAGGACTGAAATTTTACTTCCATGTCTTTGTCTCTATAAGCTTCCTTCTATGAAAATGAGAATAAGAAGGCATTACACATTACACAACTCTACCCAAAAATTTCCTCAAATACATATTCATGATTTTAAAGGCATAGCATATTCACAGCTGTGTATTCCAAACCCTTAATTTATCACCTTAAAACCTGCCCCAAGGACCCCAGTATTTTGTTAAAATAAGATAATATGTATGGGAAAAGCAAAAGGGGTCAAGAATGTTGTTATAGGAAAAGTTATAGAAAAGGGAACTATAATATAACAAGTTTTATTAATGAAGACACAATATCCAATTTACCCAGTGTAAATTTCAACTCACAGATTTGAATTTCAGTCTATTCACCAATTATTGATTAAAAGCTCATCCTATGTTATGAATGCAGAGATCCAGTTGTCCTTACTACCATCCTTTCTTCAGTAATCTATGGATTCCTTGCTTGATCTCCTGGGTTCGCACTCCATAAACAATGGGGTTGAGGGCTGAGAAGATGACATGATGGAGGATATTGAGCAAGACTGGCACATCAGGGGAGACTTTCTTCTTCACCACAAGAGTGAGCACGAAGACCAGAAGAATGGTGCTGAAGAAGAGGATAAGGATGAAGTGAGAACCACATGTGCTCAGGGCTTTGGCCATGGCACCCTCTGCCTTGAGTCCCAGCACAGCTCGCAGTATGAGGCTGTAGGAGAGGAAGATGAGGATGAGGTCAGATCCTAGCAGTGTCCATCCTACAGCAAACTGGTAAAGGCGATTGATGGTGACATCATCACAGGAGAGCTTGGAGACAGACATATTGGCACACATGCAATTCTCAATAACATTTCTCCCACAATAATTGAGTCGGGATGATAGAATTGGGATAGGCACTGTTAAAATCCCATTTCTGGCCAAAATAAAGGTGGCAGCCTTAGCTACAAATTGTTCTGTGATGATGGATGGGTACCTCAGTGGGTGGCAGATGGCCACATAGCGGTCATAGGCCATGACCATGAATGTGCAGGACTCCATGGCAAGGAAGCAATTCATGATGTACATCTGGATGAAGCAGGCATAGAAGTTGATGGACTTGAGGTCAAACCAGAAGATGGCCAGGACCTTGGGGATGACAGTGAGGCAGACAACAATATCTAAGAGGGACAGGAGGCTGAGCAGGTAGTACATGGGCTCATGCAGAGAGGCCTCCAGCTGGATGGTGACCAAGAGAACACTATTGGCCCCCATGGCCAGGAGGAAGAGGAAGCTTAGGGGCAGGGACAACCAGAGCTTCCAGCTGGGAGACCTGACAAAACAATTCAGGAGGAAGTCTGAAACCTCAATGGAGATTGTACCATTTGGATGTGCTGTCATATTTTGCCAAATATTTCTACAGCGTTCTTTTCATGATCTGTAAAATTAGGATAAAAATTAGCTAGTGACTGAAGACACATGACTTTACAACAATTTGCTTCATCTGGGTGAAACTTGTTAGTTCTAGCAGGTCATCCAGACCTATGTGAATTCATCTGTTTATTCTTTGTGGTCTGCTACTAGGACATTCCTATCACTTTAAGTAGTATAGAGGACTTAGGAAAGATGGTTTATTTATACATTTTTGATTAGTTCAAGATTTATTTTTAATGGAACTATTATGTTCTTGCAGAATGTAAAAAGAGACGAACGTGATAACCCCTACACTACGGAAACACCTGTAGAATGTAAAAAGAAGGGAAAAAATTGCTTTGGAACTTCTTTGTGACAGGTTAGTCTCTAAATTTGTCCTTATAAGGTTCTTCCTTTTTTTAATGTCCACATAGGCCACCATGTGATCATTTAACTGTAACAATATGCACAGATAAGTAGTGGAACCAGGCACAAATAGGTACTCAGATAAATGTTCTTAGTTCCCCATTCTACCTCTATTCCGAGTTTTCAAATGGAGTTTGATTTAATTGCATTTTAAAAAATGATACCCTGGGAATTCCTGGGTGGCTCAGTGGTTTAGCACCTGCCTTCGGCCCAGGGCATGATCCTGGGGTCCCTGGATTGAGTCCCACATCAGGCTCCCTGCATGGAGCCTGCTTTTCCCTCTGCCTCTCTCTCTCTCTCTTTCTGTGTCTCTCATGAGTAAATAATATTTTTTTAAAAATGATATCCTGAAAATAAAGTTATTTAATTTTCATTTTGTCTAAAAATTTTAATTAGGTAGGTATGGATCCTGGCAAATAATTGCTCCTTCTGGAAGAAACAATATTAAAAGGAGCATAAGTAACTGCCCATAGGTATGTGAGAGTGATACCTGTCATTGAAGAAGATGAAGTTGTTTGTTTTATTTGTAATAGTGTGTGGGTGATGAACTACCTTTAAAGTTTTCATCCGCTTTCTGTTTTTCTTTATATCGTATCCTCAATATAATGATCCAGCTTCTTTTGTCTAGAAGTTTTATGCTTTGCCTTGGTAGAGTGGCCCACAAGGCATGGGAGATACTGGAATTGCAGGAAGTCATGAAGACAAAAACCCATGGACAAATAAAGCTAGTCTTGAGTTGTTGACCAAAAACTTTCTCCTGTCTTGGGCACTATGTTCATTGAACTCTGCCTCTCTGTTATTTTTTTTCTCATTAGATACATTTACTTATAAGTTTGAAGGATAAAGTAATACTTCTTGCTCAGCTCAGACCTTGCTACAATGACCCACAGCATGTACATCCTCAGGCCACCAAATGAAAATACTCCCTTAAACTGCTTTCATCATTTAGGTTTTGTCATTTGATCTTTACTGATTGCATCTTTTGTTCCTACTCTCTGTAAAAGTTTGACATTTGGCTCTTACAAGTCAGAACACCAAATCTTACCATTTCCAAGAAGATTTCATCTTCAGGGATGTCAGAGTATTCTTGGAAAGAATTAGGGATTCATTGAATAGAAAGAGGGAAAAACTTGAAATGACCATTGAAGGGTACAGCCACATGGAAGAAATGGTAATTCAGACAGAAATGCTCATGGAGAAGTATAGAGGAAGAAGCAGATTTTCTTTGTCTCCTGAAGAACTTTGGGATAATTATTTCTAGCACCAAAATGAGACTTCTGAGGACAATGTAAGGGGACTATTTTATCTGTACTTTCTACTCACTGACTCTTCCTTTCTCCTATTTTCTTTGGAATGTTCTCTTACATGTTCTTCAATCTACAACTCATCCAATAAGCATTGAACTATCTACTCAGCCCTAGAAGCAAAGTAGCTGAGACCATCTATGTCCTTCTTCCCCTCTCCTGTTTTAACCTTGGATTGCAATCAGAGCTAGGCAATGATAGCACTTAGGCTGAGGAACCAGAGCAAATGACTACTGGTTCCAGGTAGGGACAGGATGAAGGAGCCAGTGAAGTTGAAGGGCAATGATACAAGCAGAGACCCTGCAGGGCAAGCTTTTTTCTCAGGCTTCAGGATGGGCCCCATAGCACTATCGAAACTCTGTTTGAAGAAGAGGAGGGATTGTTAAGGACCACCTAACTCCATAAATACAGACACAATTGTGAGACATCTCTCAGTATTTTTTCAGACATTAATCTGAACCAATCAGTCACAGATATCTCTTTGATCCTATGATCTGTGCATAATTTTCTATTTTTGGTGACAGTAGTTTGTAGAAATTATTTAGATTGAGCTGAAATCTGAGGAATTACTTTCTGACTGTCGTTGACCCTCAATTGGGCTCTAGGCCTTCAATTTCTGAAGCTATATAGGTTATATTTAATTCCTGTGCCATGATTCAAGCATTTGTGGGCATATTCTTTGCTCTAAAGCTAGCAAATTTTCATTTTCAGAGATGAAAACCTAGTCTGATGTCCACATAGTATACTTCCCCAGCCCCCTCTGCTTATTAATCTCCTATGGACAAATTCCTGCTTCTCTGCATTTTTGGCACCACTGAGCAAAAGATCCTAAAAGGCAAGAGGATGACAAAAGTAAAGTCTCAGAGCACAAATTCTCAAATGGCCTTCTGACCTGAGTCAGGATGCCGTCTCTATTATCCCATTTTCAGGCTAATTTCATCAGTGCTGACTCAGGAATGAAAAGGAGCACAGATCTGACTGAAGAGAAAGGTCCCTCTCCCCTGCCTCCCAAGTTCTGGCTAATATTGGTATAGTTGCCTCTCAGGTACCCTGTAAGCAGACTTACCTACAGAGAATGTGGAGCATGGAGTCCACTGGTATTGGGATTCTGGTTAGTTCCTGAAGTATTAAGGTAGTTATAACTACAGAGCCTCAGGGACTTTGTCCTCTGTGAACTTCCCATCCCTAATTCTTTGAGGCCAAAAGATCCTCCTGGGACAGACAGGCAGGCAGGTATAAGAAGAAAATAATTTTCTTTCTTTTCTTTCTTTCTTTTTCTTTCTCTCTAAAAGTGAGGAGTTAATTCAGCCCCAAATTGATTGTATGTTCTGTAGGCAGTCTTCTGGATGTAGGGGTGTTACATCCATCCATCCATCCATCCATCCATCCATCCATCCATCCATGTTCACGCTCCTTTGCATTTGCATGCTCAGTGCCTTCCACGGGTCCAATAAGCTCATTCAGAAGTTTTCATGAGCTTCCTGCACATAATTGTTAGATATATACCTCCAAAATTATGCTATTGAGAGGATTGATGTTAACTTACTGTGACTTTTATGATGGCATCATAATAATAATGCAAGAGAACCTTAAAAAATATTCTGGAAGAAATGTAATGTGCTTTTCAGAGAGAAATTTCACAGAAATTTTATTCTCTAACAAGAGATGTTTTAAATGGGATGTATATACAACAGAATATTAGAAAACACGATTTTTCCTTTATTTTTTACTTTCATTTTGAATTTTATGTGAATTATTCACACCCCTCAAGTAATAGGAGCAAGCATCATAAGTTATTTATTTATTTTCATTAATTTTTTGAGTGTAGTTGACACAAAATGTTCCATTAGTTTCAGGTGTGTAACATAGTGTTTCAACAAGTCTGTACATTATGCTATGGTCACCCCAAAGCTACCATCTGTCACCATGCAAAGCTATTACAATACCATTGAATGTATTTCCTATGGTGTGCCATCATCATCTGTCTCTTGAAAGTGCTTCTTTTACTGTTGGGGATTTACCCCAAAGATTCAGATGCAATGAAACGCCGAGACACCTGCACCCCGATGTTTCTAGCAGCCATGTCCACAATAGCCAAACTGTGGAAGGAGCCTCGGTGTCCATCGAAAGATGAATGGATAAAGAAGCTGTGGTCTATGTATACAATGGAATATTACTCAGCCATTAGAAACGACAAATACCCACCATTTGCTTCGACGTGGATGGAACTGGAGGGTATTATGATGAGTGAAGTAAGTCAATCAGAGAAGGACAAACAGTGTATGTTCTCATTCATTTGGGGAATATGAATAATAGTGAAAGGGAATATAAGGGAAGGGAGAAGAAATATGTGGGAAATATCAGAAAGGGAGACAGAAGATAAAGGCTTCTAACTCTGGGAAACGAACTAGGGGTGGTGGAAGGGTAGGAGGGCGGGGAGTGGGGGTGAATGGGTGATGGGCACTGAGGGGGACACTTGACGGGATGAGCACTGGGTGTTATTCTGTATGTTGGCAAATTGAACACCAATAAAAAATAAATTTATTATAAAAAAAGAAAGTGCTTCTTTTGCTGTAGTTTTACTTCTCTTTCTTCTGTGTATCTCAATATCACTCCTATTTCTGCTTTCTTCGCAAAAGTAAAAATGCAGAATTTTAAATTATGTCTTTCTAATTAATCTTAAGTATGGTTATTGAGGCAGTGTGCTTATGGGGAAGAGCTTGGATATTGAATTTATACAAATATTCTTGTTTTGTAAATCTGATGGTTTTTGTTTTGTTTTGTATTTAGAGAGTGAGCACATTGGGGGGTGGGAGGAGCAGAGGGAGAGAGAAACCCTGAGATCATGAACTGAACTGAACTCGATTCATACTTAACTGATTGAATCACCTAGGCACCTCATCTGATGTTATTCTTTGTTTTCACTCAACACTACATCTTAAACCTCTCTCCATATTGCTTTGTGAAAGTCCACTTCATTCTTTTTGACCATTGTTCAATTCCTATTATGTACATTTCCCTCTTCTTTTTTCATAATAAATTTATTTTTTATTGGTGTTCAATTTGCCAACATACAGAATAACACCCAGTACTCATCCCGTCAGGTGCCCCCCTCAGTGCCCGTCACCCATTCACCCCCACCCCCAGCCCTCCTCCCCTTCCACCACCCCTAGTTCGTTTCTCAGAGTTAGGAGTCTTCATGTTCTGTGTCCCTTTCTGATATTTCCCACACATTTCTTCTCCCTTCCCTTCTATTCCCTTTCA